TTGGTGGGGGTGGCTTGAGGCAGGGTCTCTTTTTGTAGTTCAGGCTGGCCTTGAACTGGCAGAGATCCTCCTACCGCAGCTCCCAAGTTCTCAGATTACAGGTGTAGGCCACCATGCACACCTTATTTGCTTTTATTGAATGTTTTAGATACGTTTTGAAGCTCCATGGAAAAGGCTGGTTTTAACTTCACTTGTGAATTTGAGGGTTTAGAATTCATGGTTAAGAGTGTGCAGACTTCTAAGAGTGTGGAATGAATCCTAGGCATGAATGACATTAGAGGGTCTGTGCCCTCTCCCATAAATGTACACGTAAGGGGGAAGGTAGAATGAAAGATGTAGAGTGGCCAGCTTTTTAAAGACTTCCCTTGGCCTCAAAAGATTCAGGTGACAGTCTGTGTTATCCCTTAGTACTGCCCAATCTTACCTATCTTCCCTAGTTAAACCTACCTGCTAGAACTGTTTCCCTGAGATACTGACTGGTTTGTCTCCTGTAGCATTTTGAAGAGAAGGTGAGATTAGAACAGCTCCTTTGCTTTGGGATCTGGGAGTCTCTCCTGTCAGAGAGCAGAGCTGAGGCTGCTAGTTAAAATGGTTTGGGGTACCCTGTCTCTGTAAAACTCCGCTGCCTCTGTGTCATGATAGTCCTTCTCAGGCACATAACCTGTGTCTGTAAAACTGACAGCAGTCTGGAATGTGCAGAAGAGAGCTATGGTGATGTCTGTTGGGAGTTTTTGTTTTCCTGTGTACTTTAGGATCAGAAATACCTAATCAATGACTCCTATATTTTACTTTCAGAAAACCTTCACCCCAAATATCATCAGTCGGAAGATCAAGGAAGAGTAAGTAGCTAGGTCTGCTGATAGTTGCCCCTTATTTACTGACTTTGGGACTTTGAGGAAGTAACTACTTGTGTGGCTCAGAAATTCGAATTTGTGCTCTTGTTCTTTTCTCTCCTGATTTTCAGCCCTGACTCCCAGATAATTGTGATGTGCAAGCTTTAAAAAACACTAATGCTGGGACTGGGGATTTAGCGCCGTGGTTCTGCCTCCTGCCTCACAAGTGCAAGGTCCTGTGTTCAATCCGTGGTACCAAAACAAAACAAAACAAACAGTAATGCTTGAGGATCCATCCACTAGATAGCATTCTGCTGTTGTAACAAATACATGAGATAATCAGTTTATTAACTAGAAAAGATTTGTTTGGGCTCACAGTTTTGGAACATTTGGTCCATAAATGATTGGCTTTTGGGACTACAGCAGAGTAGCACATCATGGCAGAGAGTATGTGGTAGAGTGAAGCTGCTCATCTATGTCATGGACTAGGTACAGAAGAAGAGGGCTCCACTGTCCCCTTCAAGGGCATACCCCATGCCTGGAAGACCTTCTCCAAGGCCCTGCCTCAAGGTTTCTACCACCTCCTAGTAGTGCCAAGCTGGAAATTTAAGCCTGTGACACACGGGCCTTTGGAAGATGCTTAAGATCAGAGCGCAGCAGTCCATCTTTAGAAACTCATTTACCTATGTTTTCACAGTGCAATGGGTTGAAAGCCATTATTTTAAATAAAGATGGCTCATGTTTTCCCTTACATTCCTGAATGTGAACGTTCCAGCCTTCCTGCTTTGAGGCAATGAAAAGAAAAATCTGTAGTTTTGGACACGCAGGTAAAGGTAAAGCAAACTAAAGGGTACTTGCCGCATCAAGGAAATGGGAAAAGTGGCAGACCTAGGATTGATTTCGCTTGTCATGGTGTACTCATTGGCTTCTGAATCCTGCTTGGTAAAACGAAGTGGGGTGAGAGAATTGGGCTAGTTTTCTGAGGCACAGGGACAAAGTGGCTGCCCCTCATCTGTTTTCTTTTCCAGGCCTAAGGAAGAGGTAAACGTGAAGAAGGAGAAGCGAGAGCGGGATAGAGACCGCCAGCGGGAGGGGCATGGACGAGGCCGGGGCCGCCTGGAAGTGATCCAGTCCCACTCTATCTTTGAGCAAGGCCCTGCGGAGATGATGAAGAAAAAAGGTACAAGCAAGGGATCCCTGGTGGATTGCAGTTCAGACAGCTTGAGAGGACAAGAGGGACGAAGTTCCCCTGCTCCCAGTTTTGTTGCCCTTGCTGTTACTCTCTTCCTTATTTCTCCTTAGTAAATGGTGATTTCTCACAGGGAACTGGGATACGACAGTGGATGTGTCAGACATTGGACCCTCTCATATCATCAACATCAAAAAGGAGAAGAGGGAGACAGATGAAGAAACCAAGCAGATCCTGCGTATGCTGGAGAAGGATGATGTAGGTGCCAGGAGGTGGGGGGCTTACTTGTAGGTACAGAAGAGAGGGCTTCTGGAGAACTGGGTTGGGTGCCCTAGATTCCTGGTGAGCAGCTGGCCCTTACGACTGGAAGAGGACCGAGGTGGGCTGGTCCAGGCACTTGTGCTGGCAGGCTGTGTGACCATGACTGTTGTCTGGCAGTTCATTGATGACCCTGGACTCAGGAATGACACGCGAAACATGCCTGTACAGCTACCACTGGCTCACTCGGGGTGGCTTTTTAAGGAAGAGAGTGAAGAGCCGGATGTTAAGCCTTGGCTGGCTGGTTCCAAGGAGGAAGACATGGAGATAAACATACCTGCTGTGAAAGGTATTTTGTGTTCGTTAATGCCTACCCCTTTCCGTGGCTGCTTCGGGAAACGGTCAGTGTGAACTTCTGAGATTGCTGCTCACAAGCAGATTCCCTCCCATTCCAGCTCTAAAATACAGGAGCTGCATAAAGACTTGCACCCCCCATCCTAATTCCTTGAGAGACAATGTCTCACTATGTAGCCTAGGCTGGCCTTGGAACTCATGGCAGTCCTCCTGCCTCAGCTTCCAAGTGCTGGGATTACAGGCATGCGCCACCATGCCTGGTCAGGTGTCCTATCTTTATTTTCATCCCCCAAATACTGAGGATTGAATCCAAGGCCTTTGCACTGAGCTATATCTCCAGGCCTTTTTAATATGGTAGACAATGTCTCACTATGTAGCCTAGGCTGGCCTTGGAACTCATGGCAGTCCTCCTGCCTCAGCTTCCAAGTGCTGGGATTACAGGCATGCGCCACCATGCCTGGTCAGGTGTCCTATCTTTATTTTCATCCCCCAAATACTGAGGATTGAATCCAAGGCCTTTGCACTGAGCTATATCTCCAGGCCTTTTTAATATGGTACAGGGTCTTGCAGAGTCACTAAGTTGCCCAAGCTCATTTTGAGCTTGGGCTCCTCCTGCCTCAGCCTCCTAGGATGTTAGGATTACAGGCATGTGCCGCCACACCCAGCTTGATGTCTCATTTTAGAGGAATCACATACCATTGGAATATGCTATCTCTTGCCCCTGTCCAGCTTCCTGGCTGAATAACAGAGATAAATTGGGATGAAGGGCAGGGAACAAAGAGTTGGCATAGAGGATGGTGAGTTGATGTCTTTCCTTTGTTTCACCCGAGCAGTGAAAGAGGAGCCTCGAGATGAGGAGGAGGAGGCCAAGATGAAGGCTCCTCCCAGGGCAGCTAGGAAGACCCCAGGCCTCCCAAAGGACGTGTCTGTGGCAGAGCTGCTCCGGGAGCTGAGCCTCACGAAGGATGAGGAGCTGCTCTTCCTCCAGCTGCCGGACACCCTTCCTGGCCAGCCGCCCACTCAGGACATCAAGCCTGTCAAGACAGAGGTGCAGGGCGAGGATGGACAGATGGTGCTCATAAAGCAGGAGAAAGACCGGGTATGTCCAGGAGCAAGTTCCAGGAAAACTCAGGGCAGGGCACCAGGAGCAGAGGCTGACCCGTAGAGGGACGTGGGGGAGTGTGCCCAAGCTGAGATGAGACTGTGGGCTTTTGTTCTTAGCACTAGAGTGAGTCTTGGGCCTTGCACTTCCAGCCAGTTGTTTGTGTGTGTGTGTTTGCTTTGTGAAACCCTTGTACCGTCACTCTTTGGGAAGCTCATTCTGACTTCTGCTGTCCATGACTCTCTCTGGAAGGTAGAGTGGGCTTCATTCTTAAAAAAAGAATGAACTCACACAGTTTCCATCCCCTGCTTCTTTCCCCCCAGGAAGCCAGGCTGGCAGAGAACTGTTGCACCTTGGCTGACCTGACCGAGGGCCAAGTTGGCAAGCTGCTCATCCGCAAGTCAGGGAAGGTACAGCTCCTCCTGGGAAAGGTGACTCTGGATGTGACCATGGGAACCACTTGTTCCTTCCTACAGGTGTGAGCTGGGGGCTGGAGCGAGGCGGTGGGCAGGGCTGGGAAGGGGCCGATGCTAAGGAAGGTGGGGCAGTTCTTGGGCACATCTCATCAGAGGCATGGGACTGAGGCTGGGCACGGTGTGGTTGTCATTGCTGTCTCTTGTCCATCGGCAGGAGCTGGTGTCTGTGGGCCTTGGAGACAGTAGGACAGGGGACATGACAGTCCTGGGACACGTGAAGCACAAACTTGTCTGTTCCCCCGATTTTGAATCCCTCTTGGATCACAAACACCGGTAAAATGAGCAGATGGAGGAGGATGGCGACTGTGCCCACGGCTGCCGCCTGCTCCAGACATTTTGTTCTCACATCCATGTGACCCAGAAGGGGCCTGTGGAGACCACCCACTCCAGCCTTCGGCAGCCATCGTCTCAGTTTGCCCCCACTGGCGCCCACGCAGCTCCCTCCCTCGGCAGCTGTGAACTGCACAGTGACCTTCCCATAGCAGGGATACAGATGGCGTGTTCTTGCTGCTGGGGACCTGCCCCTGCTATTTATTTTTGTATGTATGTCTTAATCTCCTCAGTTGAGTGCATCTTCCCAAGGCAGCTTCCACAGGCTCCTTGTCTTGGGGGGCCCTCAGGCTGCAGAGGTGGGAACGACTTGGCTTGTGTTCTCTCTTTCCTCTGCAGAGGCAGGCAGGAGAGAGAGAAGGGTGGAATCTAAGACAAAAGCACTCAGCCCCAGCTCATTGGTTCCTTGTTCTCAGCCCTTGGACAAACTCCCTAATTTTTCTGAACATCTTATTCCTCATCTGACAGCAATGGGGATAACACCTACCTCACAGAGTTGGTGTGAGGATCAAGTGGAATATTGTGGATGGAACTCTTTGCATAGGCCAGATATATTCCAGTAGGCTCTCAATAAACAGTTTTCTCTTTGCTTTGCCTGAGTCTATTTCAAACAAAATGGATGCTTGCTGGGTGTGGTGGTGCAAGCCTGTAATCCCAGAGTTTGGGAGGCAGAAGCAGGAGGATCACTGAATTCGAAGCCAGCCTGAGCTATATAATAGACTTTGTCTAAAAAAAAAACACCTTTTAAGACTCAAATGTCTAGAAGCCATGCATGGTCGCAGATGCCTGTAATCTCAGCACTATGGGAGCCTGAGGCAGAAGGATCGCTAGTTCAAGACCAGCCTTGAGCCGGGGATTTAGCTCAGTGGTTCCAGTGCCTGCCTTGCAAGTGCAAGGTCCTGAGTTTAAAGACCAGCCTGGGCAGCTTAGTAACTTATATAACCATCTCAAAAAAAGAAGGGCTGTGGATATAGCTCCATGTGAAAGTCCTGAATTTAATCCCCACTACTGAGCAGCAAGAAGACTAGCTGCTCACACTCCCACTTTGGTCATTACTGTCTTGTCCGCACCCTGCGCCTAGTGCTCCAAATGGTCAGGTCCACTGTTCTATGCCTTTTTGTCTCCCTGTTACTCTGAGTCACATGCTTCCCGTGGGATGTACTGGCCATAGATTCCACTGGAAGAAGTCAGAGACCCCTCTCCTCACCTGCAAAAGCCTTTGAGTGATGTGGCCAGTACTCTGCATCCCCACCTGGCAACAAGTAGCCAGTACATTTCTGGCTTCCATTAAAATACTTCGTGGAGAAAACCTGTGGCCACTCTTCAGACATTATCACTACCTTTCAGTCAGTGATAAAAGAACAAACCTTTGGTAAAGTAGATATTTTTGTTTAAGAGAGGATCTTGATATGTTATTTAGGCTGGTGTTGAATTAATAGTGATCCCCTTGCTCAGCCTCCCAAGTACCGGGATTATAGGCAGTCGTGCTCCACCATGCCCTGCTAAGGTAAAATAAGACTAAATTGAGAGATTGACACTTGCCAGGTGACCTCTTATTTTGAAAGCTTTGCTGGATGTGATAGTATACACCTGTCATCCCAGCTACTCAGGAGGCTGAAGCAGAAGGACTCCTAATTTGAGTTCAGCTCAGGCAACTTAGACCTTGTCTCAGAATTTTAAAAAAGGGCCAAAGGTGTAGCTCACTACTCCCTGGATTCAATCCCCAGTACTGCATCATGCATAAGTAAGCGAAAGCTTTGTGTTTGAAAGCCCTTCTTGTCCTCTATCCTAGCATCACCAGGTCCACCACTCAGCATGGATCCCAGTCCCTGGTGCCAGGCTCACTATGGAGATTACAAGGCTGTGATCTCACTTTCCTGACCAGCTCATCCCACTCTAGTCACTGGAGGAGCAGCTTCCTGTCCTCTTGTTGATGCCAAGACATGGGGGTTAGAGCAAAGCCTCACCAGCAGTGTTGGGTGGTGGTTCCCACACTAATAGTGCCGCTCCTGCTACTGCATCTTCATATGATGCTGTGCAACAGAGATGAAGCCCAGATCCTGTGATCAGTGCCTCTCTGACTGCGAGGTGGGCCCAGAGCTTCCAGATATGGCTACCTTTAGTCTCACTTTCCTTTGTGCTCCTTCAACCTGCCGTCTGGCCACCTTGGCCAGGGTTTTTTCTGCAGAGCCCCACCACATTGTTTTTGGAGCAAAAAAATCTTGTGTTAGCTGTATTGGGTGGTGTCCTGGTGTTTTCTCATTAGAGAGGACTTGGGAGTAAGAGCCATGGAAATCTTGTGTGATACAGCTCTGGGCTTCAGCCCTTTGTTCTGTCAAGTAGCCAGTATGCTGCCTGTGGGTCTCCATTGTAATTTTCTCTGTCCCGTTCTTTGTTTTTCAGAAATATCCTTCTGCTCTTTTGGGGTTAGCCCAATAGCCTTGTGTTAGATGTTGGGTATTTCCCAATCTTTAGTTCTTTGAGTCTTTGGGAAAGCCTGAGGCCTTCTGTTCATGTCACCATCTCAGATGTCTTGGGGAGCAAGCCTCGTACTCATAGCAAATAAAGTCCTTACTGCCTCGCTCACAAATTATGTCTCATCAATAAAAGTGGAAAAAAGATGAGGCAAATCTGCTTTTTTTGGCTGAGTCACAAGCATACATTTTACCAACAAATATGTGCAAATAATGGAGGAGAAAAGCTCAAAGTCAAATTCATATGTGGGTGCAAATAGATGCAAATGTATTACTACCTGCATCTGTGTATATACATTTTGTTAGAAACAGAACGACAGACTTGTTCATTTCTTTACATGAGTAACAGTGTGGGCTTTAGAGTCAGACGGGTTTGGTTCCAACTCCCATCAGTAACTTTGAGAAGAAAACATCCTCCCTAGGCCCAGATTTATTTTCCATAAGAATAATACAATAGTAGCTTTTACAAAAGTAATGTTACTTGTAGAATGAACGTGAAGTGTTTATCAGTTGTTGTATTTGTCCTTGTAACAGAATATGATCACAAACAGAAAAGTAGAACAACAGTGACTTAAGCTACAAAGATGTTTCCCCTGTAGCAAAGTCTGCCGATAGAGGGTTCCAGAATCAAGTGGCAGGCAGAATGTCAGGATTCTCTTGTATCTGTTTGCCTCTGTCTTGTAAAATGGCTGCCGTAGCTGTCAGCAGCATTTCTGCAGGTGACAGTGTACAAAGCTGTATTAATCCATTTTCTTTTGCTTGCAGTTTGGGATGCCCAAGGGCACGATGCCAGCATCTGCTAGCTCTAGTGAGGGCCTTCTGGTTATATCACAAAATGGTGATGGCGTGAGGAGAGATCACATGGCGTATGAGAAGCCAGAGAAGGGTAGAGGCCAGGCTGGCTCTTAGGAGAACTACACGAGAGCAACATTAATCCATTTTGAGGGTGATGACCCTAAGAATCTAACCACCTCTCATTAGGCCCTGCCTTGTAGAGGTTCCACCAACTTTTAGTGCCACCCCACTGGGAGCCAAGTCCCCAGCATATGAACCCTTGGGTGACAACATCAAACTCCTGCAAAACCTGTAGCAGTAAGGATGGGCAGCCATAACGGAGCTTTCTCCTCACTATTCTTTTTTTTTTTTTTTTGGTTTTTTGAGACAGGGTCTCACTATGTAGTTCAGACTGCCCTGGAAGTCACTGTGTAGCCCAGGTTGGTCTCGAACTCACAGCGATCCTCCTGCCTCAGCCTCCCGAGTGCTGGGATTACAGGCGTGCATACCATGCCCGGCACCCCTCACTATTCTTAAGGAGAAACAGCCTTCAGAAGCCCAGCTGACCTGCCAGAGTCTCTGTAGACCTGGGTAGCACAGCAGGTATGAGGCCAGCACTGGCAGAGTGGGGACACTGACAGGTTACCCCTGGCCCTGCACTCACTGGCCTGTGAGATGGGGTCTTGTTAGTAGGAGAACTGGAGTGGCCCTTAGATGATCCATAACAGCGGCTGACATAATTTTAAAAGTACTGTAAAATCATAAAGTACATCTGAATGGAATTGTTTTTTCTTTTTTTGTGGTGCAGGGTTTGAACCAGGACTTTGTGCATGCTAGGCAAACACTCTACCACTGAGCCACATCCCCAGCCCTGGGTGGCACTTTTAAATGCTCAGTCACTATTTATAAATAAAACAATTTCAACATTTTAGTCCACATGCTTCAGACACCAAATTTTTGTATGTTACAGATAATGATATAAGTTGTCTACTGTTTTTTTTCATGAGTTCATCTCTTTCAAAAATACATGGAAAGGGCTGGGGATTTAGCTCAGTGTTGCTGTCACCTGCCTTGCAAGTGTGAGGTCCTGAGTTCAACCCCTGGTACCCCCCCAAAAAAAAACCAACAAAAAGAACAATACATGAAATCAGGATGCTGGCGCATGCCTGGATTCCCAGCACTTAGGAGACCGAAAGTGAGAGGACACAGTTCTTCCACGTTACTGAGCACCTCGTGCCAGATATTTGTGCATTAGCTGAAGGATTAAGTGACCATCTTTTCATTCTTTCAGACCATATGATCCAATTGAATTGAGCCCTCAATGCTTCTTCTAAAGGAAAAAGAGGCTTGTTTCTTACATGCAGTGCACAGGTATTTGGGACCAAACAGGGCAACATAGCAAGACCCTGACTCTTTAAAAAATAAAACTTAAAAAAGAAGGTGGAGGGCAGCTGGGTGGTGGAAAAGCATTCGCAGTATGTAGGACAGGTGCCCTTTAAGGAGGGAACCAGTGGGAGCAGCAGGAGCAAGGTGGGCTGTTCTGGGCTAGGGACCCAGAGACTGCTTTTTGCAGAAAGGGTGAGAGAGGGAGTAGCAGGAGACAAGGGCCTTCAGTTTTGGGCCACTATGAGGACTTTGGCTTCATTTGACTTGTGGTACTGAGAATAGAACCTAGGGCCTTCACATTGAGCTACATCCCCAGCCCTTTGCTTTACTTTTTATTTTGAGACAAAGTTTCATTCCGTTTCCCAGGCTGAGCATGAATTTACCTTCTCAATCTTTCTGCCTCAGCCTCCCAAAGTTCTAGGATGCTTCTTAAATAGGGGGCCGAGTCGCACTCCCCAGGCTTAGGTTTCAGAAGATCGCTGATTGAGCTGCTGTGTTGAGGGAAGGGCAGAGCAAGTCTACCAATTTGGGGCTAATACCGTCAGCCGTGCAACAGATGGAGTGGCAAGGGTGAGGGTGGTAAAAATGGAGGTGTGGGGAAGTAGTAAAATATTTATTTTATTTAAGATGTTTATTTTGAAAGATGAGCCAGCATGATTGCTAATGAATTCAATGTAGGTGTGAGAGAAGAATCAAAGTCAATTCACAGCTCAATACCCAGAGCACCCAACCCTCTTCCCCACTAAAAGCTTTGCCAACTGGACATGTTGGTGTGTACCTGATCCCAGCTACTCAAGAAGCTGAGGAAGGAGGATCTCTTGAGCCTGGGAGTCCAGAGTAGCCTGGGAAACAGTGAAATTATCTAAAATAAATAAATAAATAAAAGCTTTGTAAAGCCAAATTCTATGACATTTTGGAGACTTTTGATAGATTATGCCCTTGAAAATGTTTGTACC